TGGGGCAAGGGTTTCAGTTTTGTGCGAGTAGAAAGTTGGCAATCCTAATTCCCTACAGGCCCATCAAGGGAAATTTGGGGCCCCGTACACCATGTTTTCTGGGGCCCCACCCCCTCCCATTTCACATCAGTCACAGGCATTTTTGGTGGTCCCCTTTGCCCCGCTCTTGTCAGCCCTACTTCTTGTGTGAGCTTGGGTAAATCACTGAATGCTTCTGATCCTCCATTTCTCCTCTGTGAACTGGGGATCACCCCTGCCCCACAGGGGTGTTGAGGCTAAAAATATTACAGCTTGTGGGGGGCTCAGCTACTCCAGTAATGGGGGCCAGATTGGTACTACATCTGGCTGGTCCCATGGCTTTTTTGCCCTCCCCTCGTGGACTGGGGTGTGAATTGCACAGCACCAGAGACTTGCAGTCAGTGTTTGTGTGGGGTAGGGACCACATGCCACCTACCCAGCGATTCACGTTCTGCCTCTATATTTTACTAACAGCCCCGAGCATAGGAGGTTTTGGATGAGAATGATGATGCGCTGCTTGGTAAGCTAAGTCCCTGTTTTGCAAGTCCCCTTTTATCCGCATCTCTGCACCCACCCAGCAGGTTTAGGGTGCTGGGACTCTAATGGCAAAAACGACACAGCCTTTTCTCCAATGCAGATCTGAATGTTATTTTCACAAAAGCTTGTGCGAAAACAGGACCCTAGTTATCGCTCACTGCTCCGTCCCCACTGGCTGTTCTGTTAGGCAGGACAAAAAAAAATCCCACGCAGGAGCTTGCGGTTTGCCTCTAGCCTGCAGAAGCAAGGAACCTGCCTTTTTCGGCATTGCAATCCTGATGGGAGTTTCTGATCCTTAGGCTTTTTAAAGGGCCATGCCTGACAAGGGCAGGGAAATAGCCAGTGTGCCTGCCCTAATGGAGCTGGAAGGGTAATGCCCCCTAGCCCTTTCCTAGGGTATCTCATGCAAATCCAGCTTTCCGGGAGAGCATAAAGCAGGCTGCCCAGGGCAGCATATGCTCCCATCACAGTAATCTTGCACACTAAGGCCAGGCTTTCAAAAGGAGCCACTGAATTTGGGTGCCACCTGGGCCTGATGTTCAGTGGTGCTGAGGGCCTGCAGGTCTCATGACCTCTAGCTGGAGTCATGGGTGCTCAGCACCTCTGCAAGTCAGGCCCACTCAATCAATTGCCACTTTTGCAAATGGCCTCGGTGCCTCCTGGCTGAGTGTGGATGAGCAAGTTGAAGCGGAGGAGGAGAACCACAATGGCAGCCTTGGCTCCTGCCAGCGCTTTGTGTTGGATCAAGCCATGGGACTGATGTGATTATTTTCTGAGTGACTTCCTGTGCACATGTACCTAATAATGTGTTGGAAGGGTGTTAAGTGCACAGGGTCTTCTGCCTTGTGTAATCTCTTCCAGCATGCAGCAAGCTGCCGATCTGATCTGTCCGTGTTTTGCAGCCACGGCACGCAGCTGTAACCGGTGGCGCAAGGTGCAGAGCAGTGGGGGATCAGGATTCATGTTGCAGTTGTAAAGAAGCTCTGACTACAAGCCGAGACACAGCTCTCATCTGCAGTGACTCCTTTGGTTAAAGTCATACAGTAGCTGCAAGGGTTTTCTAGCTTCTTCCAGCAGTTGTAACTGCAGTACCTGAGGCCATTAGAGTTCATTTTGCCCCTTGGCAGTTTCTTGTTGCTCCAGTCTCTGCCAAGGGTAGGCCCAGCCATACGGGACTCCTGACATTTGAGGAGAGAAGCATGATCACCTGGAATTACAAGTTCGTTTCTGTGTCTTTTACCAACAGATGTTCCTTTCCATTGTATTGTCGGGACTGGCGTTGCTGGGATCTACTGCTTGCTTTATCCTTTCGGGTGTGGGCTTGACAAATGGACCCCTCTGTCTATACAATCAGACTGAAGTCCCGAAGTGGGATTACCCTTTCGTAAACATGGAAAACCAGGCCTTCCACACCAGGTAGAAGGAGCTTGTGTGACGTCCAGGCAGCAGTAGGGCTAAAATACCCACAAAACTTCATCTCTTCCCTTAATCTAACAATCTCAGAGAGAACGTTAATGATTCAGCATTCAACAGACTTGGTAACACTGAAAATGAAGTTCTCCTGATGGTAAAACCAGCATTACAGCAAGCTGGCTTGCTGTGAAACAGGGAGTGGAGCAGTCCAGGCTGAATGGCCACTAAAGATGACCTGAAAATGGGGGGATCGGTGGTGGGGGAGATTTATTCATAATACATAAAGACAGGTCTGAAAAGTGATTTTAAGGGTGGGGTTTTTTACCTGCTTGTTTTTTCTATTAGAAATTCAGGTCCTGTCTAGCTGGGATGGCTCTGTGGTGCCTGGAGAAACAGTGAAAGTATTACATTAACAAAAGCCATGAGCTCAAGCTGATTGGATGTCAGTGTATGGCATCTTTAGCGTTTCCTGGTTTTGCTATTTAACTTCAAAGGCTACTGAACATTTTGGAGGAAGGAAGTATTTGTTGATGTTTTATAATTCAGACCTGATAGATCACAATACACACATCTGAGACCTCCCCTATGAGGTCCTTCAGAAAAGTCAAGGAAGATCTGATCAGATTCACGTTATTTTTAAAATTACAAAAGTAGCAGGCTGCCTTTATCCATCATAGTGAAGTGAAAAGGGAACACACGCACCCCCCCACACACACTTTTTACACAGTCAACTGCATGTCACCCCTTCAGATGTCTTTGTCCTATCACTGTCTCATCAGAGTCTTTCTTTAAGGGCTCAGAATTATTTGTATGACCCATCACTCTGGAATTCAGTCTGCATCGAGCCCCCAAACATTGTAGCCTGGAACATCTACTTCTTCTCCATTCTGCTGGTCATCAGCGTGGTCGAAATGGTCCTGGCTTCTCTTCAGATCATCAATGGCTTCTTTGGATGCCTCTGTGGCTTATGTGAAGGCAAATAGGTAACTTCAATTCCTAATAATTCTCTGTGACTGCTTTTCCTCATCTTCCCTCCCTGTGCGAATGGTGCCACCAAAGATTTCAGGCAAAAACTCCTGCAGGCTTTCCCGCATGACCTGAATGCATCATCCTATTGCTGAGATTTCACCCAGATGTGATGCACAATAAGGACTTGATCCTGTACAGAGTGGGAATGGAGTTATGTATCTGTGCAAGGTAAAATGTGGTGGACAGGGACTGGAAGTGGAGGACAGTATGAGAGCATGGCTGGCTGACCCCAAGTTACTGCCTTCTACTGGATTGTAGTAAAGGGTTAGGAGTCTATCTAGACCAGCTGTGTGAGAGGCAGCCGTGGGTTGAAATGTAGTGTTCAAAGCTGATGATGGGTCGTGTCTGGACCGAGATACACCCTGCAGTGCACCATGCTACACTGGATCAACGGATATTCTCACTGCAGGCCCACAGTGGTGGTGCAGTGTAATGGGGCTCTGGAATACTCAGATGTAGCCAGTGCTCAGACAGGGCTGAGACATGCTCCCCTGGCCGCTCTTTCTTCCCACATGGTTAGGTCAATCCCGGCATTAGGAACCCAGTAGCGGAAAAAGAAATCTCCCTGAATATTCCTTCCAGGCAGGGCTTATTTCAGCCAGTGGCATATGCTAGTGAAGATAGGCAAGAATGTGATGATGGATTCAGCCAGTAGATTGAGTCAGGCCTTGTCTCGATGAGGATTTAAAGGGGTGATCTATTTTAGGTAGGCTTGGAAGGATTCCGTTTTTATTGGTAAATGTCGATTTCACCGTACACCCCCCCACACGCACATGCACATGCACACACACACACATGCGCGCACATACATGCGCACACCGCCTGTGATTGCACACACAGAGCAATGAAAAAAACATTCCTATCGATCATAATTGAAATTTACAGACAAGCAAAATAAGAAAAATACTGCTTGAAAACATAATAGTTTGATTTAAGGATATTTACTTTGTATATTTTGATGTGATAGAGACAGTTTGTTTTAACAGTTTTGAATTTCACCGTTTACTGTCATTAAATAATTATGATGTGATAATTTCCCCCATAATTTCACACAACTATGAACATTTAAATAAATAAAAATTGGGGAAAATAATTAAACTGTCCATAATTTTGCATAACTGTGAAAGTTAAAATAGATACAAATCAGAAAAAATGCTTTAAAATAAACATTATCATCCATCAAAATTATTTTAAAAATTACAAATTCGGCTGAACTGATCAAGCTAAAACTGGAGGGGAATCTACACTATCATTTGACTTGCTAGAAGTGTTAACTGTGGCTACATTGAAAAAAAACCTACTTAACACCAATCGAGTGAAAGCTAACTCTGCAAACCCGCCATGTTTCCCAGTCTTGCCCAGGCCTTACCAGGCAAGAGAGGGAAAGCCGAACAAAAATCCGGATGTTGTTGTAAAACCTTGTCTAAACTGAGGATTTTCAAGCAATCAATCTTCTAATATTGCCCTGGGGCTGCTCCACTGATGCTAACGCTGGTGGGAGGGCTAGTATGTACTGTCTGCTGCCATTTCCACTGCTGTGCCATCGAGAGCTGCTCTGAGCACATCTGGGAAGCTACCAGATGTTTAGGTCTAGGAAACAGATCATTTAGAGATGGACTATCCTTGCTCTCCTCCCGCTACAGGTGAGGCTAAAGTGCTATAATCTAAGCTAATTTGCTGTTTGATTTTGTTGTAGCTTCAGTGCACATCAGATTCCTGAGTTGCCTGGATTTTGCTATGCCGAGTAGAGGTGGCATTTACAAAGGGGTGATCATCCCAGAGCTTTGAGCCTCCTGCATCAGCTACACCTGTGCAAATATTAAACCGATCATGGTCTCCTGGGTAGCCATATTAGCTCATCACTACAAGGATATTTAATACACACTAGAATCACTGCCACCATTTTATTCCTGGGTGGCAACTAGAGCTGGATATCAGACTTACACTTTTGTGTTATGGAGCTACAATGTAGTTTCTGTATGAACACATTGTACTGAATTGATGGGGCCATTATATGAATACCCTCTGATTTCTACAGACGCAAACCCAGGAGGAAGCGGAAATAATCCATGCTAGCTGTTTACCTTTGTCTGGGAAGGATGTGATGTTCCTTAGCACCAGATTCAGGAAATGCACAGACCCTTTGTCAAGGGAAGAACACTGTGCAAGCCTGGGACATAGACATGACAAATTCTGCACGTGCAAGGGATCACTTTGAAGAACAAATGAATCCTGAGTCGTCTGATCTGGTTTTTCCCACCCTGCAGCATCAGCACAGAAGAAACAATACCTCTGGATAGTGGCTTGAAACTGGCCTGTTTGAGGGTTGCTGATTAACAGAGAGATTATGGATGGACCATGTGACCCTTACGCTGACATTTTTGCTAAGGACAGAGAGAGGGAAGGGGGCATCAGTTGGGACCAATAACCTTTCTGACCTTTATTCATCATAACAAAGCAAAATAGCCACAAGCCCCATTTTTTCTGTTTGCACAACCCATATGACTGTAGCTCATGTAGCAATATTTATAGTGACGTTAGTCCAAAATGTGGTTTATTTTTTCACTGTCTTTTAATTTATTAATTTATCTATTACATCTGCATTTAGACAAACTGAGTTGGAGCCTTCTGGATGCTTCCACTGGGTTTGATCATTATTTGGCATCTCTGAAGAGTGAGAAACCAGTTCCTGGGCTCTGGGTTAGGACCAACGTTCCCTCTAATTTTTTCCATCCATGTGCGGAATAAATTTTGTTATGTGCACCAAGGTAATGTGTGGATGTGTGCCACCAGTAGAAACAAAACACCTAGATATAATTTTTTTTTAAAGTTACCATAGGGATAATTACTCCAGCCAGGGCAGGTTAAGCATTTTAGAACTCACTACTCAAAGAATTAAAATTAAGTGTAACAGAAATAAAAATTATGAAATGTATAGACCAGCCAAAAAAAAATAACAACACTCTTTGAAAGACTAAAATTACAGAAAATATATGTGCATTGCTGGAAGTACCAAGAAGTAACAAAAAAATACAAGTATGTGTTGGGAGCTGGGAGTGTGAAAGACTGTGTGTGTGTGTGTGTGTGTGTGAGACACAGAGACAGTGTGTGTGAGAGATACAGATTGTGTGTGTTTGTGTGTGTGTGTGTGTGTGTGAGTGAGACACAGAGACAGTGGGTGTGCTGGCTGCTGAAGAAGTTTCTGAGAGATGCTGTGTGCTGTCTCTTTAAGGCACTCACTGAAAGCTCTCCTGCTCCTGAGCCCTGTCCCCCCTTCCCCACTCTGTGGAGATGGGGCACATGGGCAGGAGGGAGAGGGAGAGACAGAGAGAAAGTGTGTGTGTGTGAGAGAGAGTGAGAGAAAGAGAGAGAGAGAGAGTGTGAGAGCTGACTGTTAGGGAAGTCTCTGAGAGACCGTGTGCTTTCTCTTTAAGGCACTCACTCGCTCACTCACCCGGAAGGCTGGTTCAAACCTCAGACTACAGCAGCCCTCTCCCACTCAGAGTCCTGAGCCAGGCTGTCCCCTCTCCCCTGCTCTGTGGAGATGGGGTACAGGGGTGGGGGAAGGGGGACACCCTGACATCAGCACCCCACTCTCCCGCCCCTTCTGCACAGCCAGCAGGAGGGTCCCAGAGCAGCCGCAGGAGCAATGTGGCTGCAAAGTAGCGAGGGGAGGGGCACCTGAACACACGCTGCCAGATGCGCACTTGATTAGCAGAGCTGTGCACGGCACTTGAATCACTCCTAGGTGGCCGCCCAATCACACAGCTTAGAGGGCACCCAGGTCAGGACTGAGGTATGCTTTCTCCAAGGGCAGAGTGAATGAAGTCATCCCGTCCCCATTCCCAAATCTTGTCTGCTTACAAAGACTAGAATGATGTAGTTTACGACTTGTAAACCCAGTGCCCATTGAAGACAATCAGGTACGTCCATGGATACTTAATAGGTACTGGAACAGATCCATGCTGAACTGCTGGACAGAACTGATACAGCCACACTGTTTACATCTGTATCAATGCTGGATATGTTTTATTGGACGCTTTTTGTCAAAAGAGGACACAATTTTTAATCATGAGGTAATGCCTATCCAAGAATGAGGTGACTTGAAAATCAGGCCCTGTCCTTCAACATTAAGGCAGTCTGGGGCCATTCATTTCTCTCATCGTTGAGGCTAAGATTTTGTCATGGTTATTTTTAGTAAAAGTCAGGGACAGCTCATGGCAATAAACAAAAATTCACGGAAACCCGTGACCTGATCCTGACTTTTACTAAAAAATACCCTGGGAAAAGGGAGGACAAACAGAGCACTGCCGGGGCTTGCAGCTGCTCCAGCCCCTCTGCTGCTCCTGTGACAGGGGTTGACAGCTGCTGCTCCAGCCCCAGGGGAGCTGACCCAACCCCAGCTGCTGCTCTGGCAGCCCCAGGGCTGACAGCTGCTCCAGCCCTGCCCCAGAAGAAGTCACAGAGGTCCTGGAAAGTCACAGAATCTATGACAGAATCATAGCCTTACTCATTGTGAATTCAGAACTCTCCTAGGCACCACTGGAGGGAGCTAAAACCACAGCAACTGCCAAGCTTTGCTGTGGCTGCTTTTCTCCATCCATAGAAGGCAAAAGAAAACTCATTCTATTGCAACTTTCTTCTCCTGAGCTGTTTGTAAAGGAGCTTGCAACACCGGACATGGCAGTTTTAGGGGGGCGGAGAAGCGGGGGTTTAAAGGGTTAGAGGGATTGCTCTGGCCCAGGAGTGGTGTCTTCACCTCTAGCCAGAATGTGATGCAGAGTCCAGTGGCAGGCTGCCCACATATGTAGAGTTTTCTAACTCAGACTCCTGTTTGCTAGTAGGCAGATAGAGTCTTTGTCTATTACTTTTGATGACATCTTCAACTCTATCTAAAAGATTAGTCTCTCTCTCATATCTCTGCCTGCTTTCCCGCCTCTTAGGCAGCTAGTAATCTCCTCCCCCCACTGATAAGGTCAGAAATGTGGTGCCTAGATCTAAGAGGTGGCAGCACTTGGGATGGGTCAGTTTAGTGGTCACAGCCTACCCCCAGTGGAGGTTTATCATGATCAGTAGCAATAAATAACCATTATCAATCTACTTCCATGTTGCTGTCCTGCCATTCTGTCAACTGCATGCACCCCCAGCCCCTCCCTTCCAACCCTTGCCAGAAAATTGCAGGCAAAATAATCAAGGCTCCAGCCACACTTCCTGCATGATGCTCCTCCTACCCAACCTCCGTTAGCTATATAGCTTTACCTCTGCTCCCCTCCCCCAACCTATTCTCTGCCTTCGTCTCTCCGCTACCCACCTCCTTTGCCTCTCTTGTGACAGATTTTTGTTACCAATCTGCCTGAGGCATCAAGTGATCAGGCTGAGGCCACAGGATCTTTAGGGAAGGAGATGACGAAACACACCAAGTGTCTAAATTTTAAAGCTTTATTAATAATAATAAAATAACATCAGAGAGTGATGGGTGCTCCCCATGTCACTCAGAGGAAGGAAGAAAGCGTTAGTGCCCCAAGCCCTAACCCACTTTCATACTCACACATGCTCTACCCAAGGCTGGCTGTAATGTAAGAAGAAGAGGGGGAAGGGTGGAGGTTTTTTTGTTTTTTTTTAAATGGTTGAGATCATAGAATATCAGGGTTGGAAGGGACCTCAGGAGATCACCTAGTCCAACCCCCTGCTCAAAGCAGGACCAATCCCCAATTAAATCATCCAACAGATTTTTGCCCCATATCCCTAAATGGCCCCCTCAAGGATTGAACTCACAACGCTGGGTTTAGCAGGCCAATGTGCAAACCAGTGAGCTATCCCTCTCCCCCAGTTCTGGCCTGGGTCCGGGCCCAGGTCGTCTGGGGTCTGCTGTAATCTCCGACTTGCTTTGGCTCTCGGGAGGGTTTTAAGTCCTGAGTTTCTTTGGGGGTGTTTTCGACCAGTGCCCTCTGTTCCTGGTGCTCTTTGTACCAGTCCAAACTGGCTCGCTGTGGCCTCCTCGGCTTCCCAAAACACCCCGCTCCAGAGACTTATTTTCCCCCCCATTGGCCTTTGCCGTCTCATTCGCTCTCACTGCTATCTCTGCAGCCTTGCTCAACTTCATTCTCCTCTTCTTATGGCTAGACAGCTGCAGATTTCTTGTCATGCCCGTGACCTTGGACTGGGACCAGCGTCTTATCTTCACACGGAGCTAGCTAAAGTGTTGAGTTAACCCGTTCTCTGCTCTCTTCCTTCTGACCCCTAAGTTTGGAACAGCCTTCCCTTCCCTCCGTGCCCATCACCCTCCTTTTCCAGAGGGCTGGCGGAAAGCTCAGCTTGTGCCAGTAGTTCCAAAGGATAAAAGGGATAACCCAAGTAATTACAGGCCTGTCGGGCTGACATCAATCCCAGGAAAGATAATGAAGCAGCTGATATGGGACTTGATTAACAGAGAATAAAAGGAGAGTAATGTAATTAATGCCAAGCAACATGGGTTTATGGACAATAGATCCTGTCTAACTAACTTGGTATCTTTTTTTATGAAATTACAAATTTGCTTGATTAAAAGTAATAGCATTGACATAATGGACTTTTGTAGGGCATTGGACTTTGTACCACATGACATTTTGATTAAAAAACTGTGAAGAGATAAATATTAACATGCCCATATTAAATGGATTAAAAGCCACCTAACTGTTAGATCTCAAAATGTAATTGTAAACAGGGAATCCTCATCAACTGCGTGCGTTTCTAATTGGGTACTACAGGGTTGGGTTCTTGGTCTTACGCTGTTAACAATTTTATTAAATGACCTGGAAGAAAACATAAAATCATGACTGATAAAGTTTGCAGACCACATACACATAGGGGGAGTGGTAAATAATGAAGAGGACAAGTCATTGATACAGAGCAATCTAGATCGTTTTGTAAGCTGGGCAAAAGCAAATGTACAATATACATTTTAATACGGCTAAATGTCTACATCTGGGAACAGAGAATTTAGGTCATTCTTGCAGGACAGGGGACTCTAGCCTGGGAGGCAGTGACTGTGAAAAAGTTTTGGGAGTTGTGGCGAACGTGACCAAAAAAGCTACTATGATTCTAGGGTGCATAAAAGGGGGATCATAACTAGGAGTAGAGATGCTATTTTACCTCTGTATTTGACATTGGTGTGACCACTGGTGGAATACTGGGTCCAGTTATGGTGCCCGCAGTTCAAGAATGATATTAGTAAATTGGAGGAGAGGGTTGAAAGAAGAGTCTCAAGAATCTTCTTCTTTCATACAGCTTGGGTAGATAGCAATGATTACAAATTTATATCTAGCTTTGATAGTCACACATTGCTGCAGCAGTGAGTTGGTGAATGTCCTTTAGGCCCTGGTGAAAGAACAAAGGGGACACTCAGATATGATGTACTCCATTGTTTTTGCCTGGTGACCACAGTTGCATACAGATGTTTGCCTCATTTTCCATTTAAAGAGGGTTTGTCCACATCTCCCTTGAGATGTCCTGATATGATTCAATCTGCACCAGCCTGTCTGACAAATCAAAACCCGGTGATTCGTCAGCAGGATCAGTGATACCAGTCAGCTCTGTGTTCTTGGGGAACCAGGGCGCAATATCTAGCCTGTCTGACTCATGAAAGACACACCACCACCACCACCACCAGTCTCTGCTTGAACCAAAACTGATCAGAGAAAAGGCTTGCAGAGAGCAGTGAAGGGCGTTGGGAGACACACCTAGACCTCTCCTGACAAGGGTGACAAGATTAAGACATCTCCATTAGCATACGGAATGGAGAACAGAGGCCACTCCCCTACCCTCATCTGCATGAAAGATGGGACA